CAGGCGTCGAACCCGTCGAGGGGCGCCAGGTCGGCGGATCGGCACCGCAGAAGACTGGATGTGCAGCCGCAAAAGCCGTTGGCCAGGAAGCCATTGGCGACAGGCGCCTGTAGGACAGGTGGCCTGACGAGCGCGTGAGCGTCCCGCCTGCAGGCAAGCGGCCTGCAGGGAAGGAATGGCGCGAGCCAAACCTCAAGAGAGGGAGCGCGTGCCAGCACGCACCCGAACGGGAAAAGAACCCCGTGATGCTGCCGACTGGTCGCACGGGACAGTCGGTCTCACCCCACACGAGGGCGGATCGACGGGAAAGTGGACCCCGTGCAAACCCGCGATCGAGGGGGGAGAGTGGACCACCGCCTTGGGCGGCGGCCCACGCGTGGTCCGAGAAGACGGCCGCCACCGCGAAGAGGACGATGTTGACCTGAGCGGCGGGGGCCGGCGCAGGCCCCTGGCGCCCCCCGCCGCGCGGGCGCGGAGGGGGGCGGAGGGGGCCGAAGCGAGGCAAGCTCGGGCCGAGAAGCTGCAGAGACTGCTAGGGCGCGAGAGGCTGGAGAATAAGAGCGTGCATTCGGATTGCTTGTGGATCGGTCCAGGAAAACGCCGAAAACCTCGAAGAGGTTCCCAAGCTGGCTCCAAGAGGTCCCAACATTCCCCTGGTTGGCCATTGTTCAGGGCGGCTCGTGCTGATTCCAGCTTCGGATAGATCATCTAGAGCGAGCTTTGAAACCACCTATGGTTGAGTCCTGGGTCTGCTCGGGCTGATCCCGCGCTTCTGTTTAACAACTGTCCCCACCCCCTTTGTTCAAATGTATACTCTGCGCTTTTCTGCTCAAAATAACTCGCCTGGAAATCGGTTCCCACCAAACAAATTAAATCCTGAAATCCAGATTCAGGCACCATAGCAGACCGCCGAATATTTTGAACTTCCGAAATGCCAGTGCACGCGCTAGCATAAGCCATCCGATGAGACGAACTCCTGGCATCCAATTGCAACCAATGCAATCACAAGAACAACCAAACGGGCTGTGGCTCCGTTCCAACCAGAGAGAAGCAAACACCAACCAGAACTCCTTCAAACAGCGGTGTTCTGACTTCAACGATGCTAGGCCTCTTTCTCGGTGCACCGGGCCCAGGTTGCACCGGGCCCAGCTCCCTGGGAATGCATCGATGATTCAGCGTGCCGACTTGTCGGAAACACCTCCCTCTCAAAGGTTTGCCCCTGCACCCGCCCGTTCCCAACGGATATCAGGACCGCCGATTCGCGGGGCGGTCTGGGCGTCCACCTGCCAAGGTTCGAGCACTTTGCACCGACGGACTGCGCGCCTGGCTGGAAGGCTGACTCGGGAGCGGCCAAGAGGGGGGTGTCCAAGAGGGGGGGGTGCAAATCATGGCCAGCGGCATGTGCGCGGCCCAGGGGGGTGGCCAGAGACGTATTGAAATAAGAAGGGGCGCCATGAAATCTGGGGAAATATCATGGCCCACGCCATGATATCCCCCCCCCCCTAGTCATCACCCCCCTCTTTTCCGCCCCCGACTGACCAAAGGCAGCTCCAAGCTGACCCCACTTGTGGCGTCCCAAACCCGGATAACGACGCAGTCCAACGCGCGTGAAACGCCTCCAGGAGACGCTTGCAGGGACGCTGGGAAGAATGTCTGGGGAGCTTGCAAGCTCGAGAAAAGGATCGTCGCAAGAGCTCCCGATGAGCTTCGAAGGAACTGCGGAGAGGCCTCGAGCACGCGTACTGGGAACGAAGAGGACCACGCTTGCCGGGACACGCTGCGAATCCAAGCAAGACGCTGCGGGGATGCCAACAGGACGCCGGAAAGAACTGCCAACATCACTCTGAAACCCTCTCAAATCTCAGAGACTATCCGGGGTAGAAGAGCCACCCTTATACTAGGCACCTCGACGAGCGAATACCTTTACAAAACGCACCTCGCCTGGTGAAATAATCGAACAAAGGAGGGCTGTTTCGTTAGCGCGCCGGATTGTTTGAGCGCCAGGTATGAGGGTCGGGGTGGATCTCCCTGTCTAGAACATAATCCAAGATGGCTTCAAATAAGCTCACTAGTGGCCAATGGCACCATGTCGTCACCAATGGGTCCCAGCATCCCCCAAGGAAGGCCTGCATGTGGCCATGGTTTCCATAGAGGCCACCGAGAGAACACACATACTTCTTGCCTTTCTCAACAAAATGACTCGATAGCATATTTCGCCTTCTCGCACTTGGTTTTCCGAGGCTTCTGGAAATATGTGTGAACTAATCCAAGAGGGCCTGGAAGACGCCCCAATTTGCTCACGTGCACTATCTGGGCCTTCAAGAGTAGGTCCGCGGACCAACAGATAGGCCCACGAGTCTCTCAGGAAACGCGTATTGGGCTTGTTTCGCGCTCCTGCGTAGGGGGATGCGAAGTGAGGACGTATTTACTTTGGGCCGATTGCCTTCACCAGTGGGCCGAAGGTTCGTCCGGAAAGGGCCCAAGAGAATCCCAAGTGGGCTCCAAATTTTTTAGAGAAGCCCTGTTCGGGTTCCAAGTAGGTCATCTCGGGTATCAGACTTGGGAACAGCACGTGGGCAAGTGAGGGCAGCCCCCCCCAACATTCGGCGCCGTCGATCAAAACCAGGGGGACTCCCCTTCCCCCCAAAGCCCCCCCTCCCGAACCCCCCCCCTCCCTCCCAAGGGTGGGGGTTCAAACACCCCCCCCTGGCGCCGGCGCCGGCGCTGGCGGCCGCCAGCAGCGCCGAAGGCGGGGACGCAACGACGACGACCAGAGGCAGCCCAAGGGGGGAGGGTGGGTTTTCAACGCCCCCCCACCCCACTGGCGCCGGCGCCGGCGCCCAGCAGCGCCGGCGCTGGCGCCGGCGACGGCGGGGACGCAGCGATGATTACCACCACTACCACCACCGCCACCACTACCACCACCACCACAGCCTCCACCCACCACCACCACTACCAACCCACCACATAACCACCACCTCCACCACCACCGCTACAACCACCACCACCTCCACCACCACCGCTACAACCACCACCACCACCGCAGCCACCACCACCACCGCCACAACCGCCACCACAACTCACCATCATCACCACCACCACCACAAAAACTTTCCACCACTACCACCACCACCGCCACAAACTACCACTACCAGCAGCACAACCCACCGCTACCACCACAAACCACCACACCACCACCACCGCCACCACCACCATCACCAGCACCACCTCAACAAACCACTGCCACCACCACAACCCACCACCACCACCACCACCACCACCACCACCACCACCATCACAAATCAACACCACACCACCACAACCACCACCACCACAACTCACCATCACCACCACCACCGCCACAAGAACCCACCACCACTACCACCACCACCACCACCACAATCTACCACACCACCACCATCACCACCGCCACAACCACCACCATTACCAGCAGCACAACCCACCACCACCACAAACCACCACCACACCACCACCACCACCGCCGCCACCACCACCACCAACACCACCTCCACAAACCACCGCCACCACCACAACCCACCACCATCACCACCACCACCACAAAGCACCACCACACCACCACCAAACCACCACCACCACCACAACCCACCACCATCACCACCACAAACCACCACATCACCACCAAACCACCACCACCACCCACCATCACAACCACCACCACCACAACAAACCATGACATCACCACAACCCACCACCAAAACCACCACCACCGCCACCACCACCACAACCCGTCCACCACCACCACCACCACCACCACCACCACCACCAGCACAGCAGCACCAGCACCAGCACCACCACCACCACCACCACCACCACCACCACCGTCGTCCTCGTCAACGCTCCCCGCCGCCGCCGCCCGCCGCCGCGGGCGCTGGCGCCGGCCCAAAAAATGAAATCGTCGTCCCCGCCGCCGCCGCCAGCCGCCGCCGACGCAAGCGCCGGCCCGAGGAGAAGGGAAGCAAGGGAGGACAGGGGGGAGGTCCGGTTTCACCCCAGCCCTCCCTCCAAGCGACCACAAAACGCGCTCTTTCTGACCTAAGCGCCTACGCAGCGAAACGTTGACCTGATCGGCTCGGAATGGTACGACCATATGACGTGTCATATGTTCCACCAGGCAGAACCAAGCCAATTTCAGGTAGGGTGCGTACGCTAAATCAAGGCTAAGGAAGGCAAAGCCACATACGATATGCACTAGGTCAAGCAAAACTTAGCCACGCCTAGCCAATATCAACGTCCGTACGATTCATGCCAGCCTGTTTGGGCTGCCCCGCGCTTTGGTTTTAGCGGCGTCCCTCCATTGGGTAGTTTCCTTTGAACGCGTCGACTTCCGCCCCAACAAGTGCCCACGTACATATTCTTCTTGATGGGCCAAGGGGAACACTCGTAGCATCAACAATTCTAAACAATAAATGCATCACCGGAAGTATGCGTAATGTCGAACCATTACAATTCCCGGAGAAATGTTGTGATGCTTGAAACAAGCGTTGCACGCGCTGCTGGCGGAAACCTCGAAGAGAAAGGGAGGCGGCTTTACGAAGTTATTGAACAGGAACGAAGACTCGGAAACTGCACTGGGGAACCCCACTGAGCCTGCAACTCGTGCTCGGTATCCGAGAACACGCGGCGTGAGTTGTATATGCACTGCAACGTGGTGATATTGGAATGCCGATGCGCATCTCTGTTCTGTATGTAGGACTCCGCTCGGACTCGAATCCGGTCGACATCTGAACCACCCATTATCAACAAGCAACTTTCCGCGGAATATTCCGATGGTCATATGTGAAGCTCTCACTATCATGCCTTGGTGTTATGAGTGCGTCCACCAAAGCGTGGTCATCGTCGTCGTTGTCGTCGTCGTTGATGACGCGTTCTTCCGAACAGGAGCTCGGATTAGATATTTGTGAGCTCATGCTTCGATTCACGCCAGGCCACAGATATGCCAAGATCTAAACCGCACCCAGCTAGGACATCACGACAGAGGCCCAATTCTCGGGCTGAAGCATCTGGTTGTGAAATGCCGTCCATGTGATAGAGCTTGGTGCCGAAGTTGTTTGTGGTCTTACTTGGCGCGTCCAACTTCAAGCGGCTTTATGCCTCCGATAGCGCAAGTCCGTGCTCAACATTGTTCAACAATAGCAGAATGAACGCTGCTGCCCAACACGCCTGCGTTATTACAAGCTAGAATGGAATGCTTTGCCACTTGCGGGCTCCGTCGCACGGTGGTATTGGGTCTTCGCTCTGAATCTCTCACGTCCCACACCACCTCACATCACCTCACCTGACCTCCCTCACCTCCTCCCCCTCCGACTCCCCCTTCCACCTCCGCCTCCCCTCGCCCCTCCTCCTGCGCTCGTACCAGGCACCCAGGTTCGATCATCCTCTACTGCTGCTACTGCTATTGCTTCTGCCGCTGGGCGCGCCTGGCTGCGGGGTATCTCGTGTATCTCCCTCCTCCTCCTCCTCCTCTTCCTCCTCCTCGTCCTCTTTCTGTTCTTTCTCATCCACCTCCCCGCCTCCCCACGCTTCACGCGTTTTCGTGCCCCTGAAAAAGCCCCACCTACGGTCTCAATATGGGCGCGGCCATCCAGCTCACGCGTTTCGCGGCCTTCGGACAGGGGAGAACGAATCGTTTGGCTTTTTCCTGTGCGCGTCTTACTCTGACCATGTCTTGTGTTGGCCGTGCGGCGTGGACCTGGCTTCCGTCTGCGTGGATGATATCTCCGTCCAGTTTTTCACGCGGATTTGTTTTTATCCCCGCATGGACTTCATCCCATGAGAGCAGCAAAAGGGAACTGGATGGACATTTCCACGGCTCTGAAGCCCGCTCGCGTGAAGATTCTACGGGAGAGGGGGGTGAAGTTGGTTATCAAACTTCTACAACGTGCCCTGAACTGTCTCGCCCATCGTCGCCGTCGTCGTCGACGACGCCGTCGTCGGTCGGCCAGGCGGTCTGTCGTTGTCGTCGACGTCGGTCGGTCGTCGAGCGAAAATTCGCAACACATCGAACACAGAACCCTTCGCCTGTCTGTTTCAGACAAGGGAGAATTCATCATTCGATACCACTATAGCTCGCGGTGCCCTGGGGGGCTGCGATCTGGGAAACTGTTGGCACTTTCGTGGGCTCCTGGGAGGCCCAGCGGAGGTACGTCATACGCGGACCACCACTATAGCTCGCGGTGCCCTGGGGGGCTGCGATCTGGGAAACTGTTGGCACTTTCGTGGGCTCCTGGGAGGCCCAGCGGAGGTACGTCATACGCGGACCATCACTATAGCTCGCGGTGCCCTGGTGGGCTGCGATCTGCGAAACTATCGGCACTTCCGTGGGCTCCTGGGAGGCCCAGCGGAGGTACGTCATACGCGGACCACCACTATAGCTCGCGGTGCCCTGGGGGGCTGCGATCTGGGAAACTGTTGGCACTTCCGTGGGCTCCTGGGAGGCACAGCGGAGGTACGTCATACGCGGACCACCACTATAGCTCGCGGTGCCCTGGGGGGCTGCGATCTGCGGAACTGTCGGCACTTTCGTGGGCTCCTGGGGGGCCCAACGGAAGTACGTCATACGCGGATCACCGCTATAGCTCGCGGTGCCCTGGGGGGCTGCGATCTGCGAAACTGTCGGCGCTTTCGTGGGCTCCTGGGAGGCCCAGCGGAGGTACGTCATACGCGGACCACCACTGTAGCTCGCGGTGCCCTGGGGGGCTGCGATCTGGGAAACTGTTGGCACTTTCGTGGGCTCCTGGGAGGCCCAGCGGAGGTGCGCCATACGCGGACCACCACCATAACTCGCGGTGCCCGGGGGGCCGCGATCTGCGAAATTGTTGGCACTTTCGTGGGCTCCTGGGAGGCACAGCGGAGGTACGCCATACGCGGACCACCACTATAGCTCGCGGTGCCCTGGGGGGCTGCGATCTGCGAAACTATCGGCACTTTCGTGGGCTCCTGGGAGGCACAGCGGAGGCACGTCATACGCGGATCACCGCTATAGCTCGCGGTGCCCTGGGGGGCTGCGATCTGCGAAACTGTCGGCACTTTCGTGGGCTCCTGGGAGGCCCAGCGGAGGTACGTCATACGCGGACCATCACTATAGCTCGCGGTGCCCTGGGGGGCTGCGATCTGCGAAATTGTCGGCACTTTCGCGGGCTCCTGGGAGGCCCAGCGGAGGTACGCCATTCGCGGACCACCACTATAGCTCGCGGTGCCCTGGGGGGCTGCGATCTGGGAAACTGTCGACACTTTCGTGGGCTCCTGGGAGGCCCAGCGGAGGTACGTCATACGCGGACCACCACAAACGCCCCTTGTGCGTCCGTTCTGCATTTTCGCCGCTGCTCTTCTTGCGGAACTTTTCTGAAATCACTGCTGGGTGCTCTTCTTGCGCACTGCGAGTCCTTCAGAATGCCAGTCAGCATTGAATGGTCCTGAGTATATTCGCCGCATGTATAGACAGGATTGGGTACGCCGCAAGGTAATTCTAAGGTGCCATTGCACTTGCACGGGGGAATGGGAAGGAAATCGCATCCGAAGGCCCAAAGCCCGCCCGCGTCAAGGCTCTACGGGGGAGAGCGGGTGCGGTTGGTTATTAAACTGCCACAGTGGGCCCTTAGCTGCCTGGCCCATCGTCGTCGTCGTCGTCGTCGTCGTCGTCGTCGTCGCCGTCGTCGGTCGGCCAGACGGTCGGTCGTCGTTTTCAGTGGGTTGCTGGGTAGGTCCTCGTCGTCGTTCTTCCTCGCTCGGTCGTCGCTGAGCCAGAAGGCGCCAACAAAAAAATCGAAAGCAGGCACCTCCCCGTCTATTGGGGAGTCCACCCACAGTCTCAGTGGGCGCGACCGCACGGCGTCCCGGTGCCGATGTCGGCACACCACTCACATGTTTCGTGGCTCCACCGGGAATCCCACCGAATGCCCCGATGGCAAAATCCCATTGGCGCCATCCCGCAAACTTCGGCGCACACCTCACACTTTTCGTGGCCTCATAGGAAGGTAGACCCATGGCATTAATGGTCAAATCCTCATGGCGTCACCCCAGTCCAATCCGGCACACCCCTCATATGTCTTGTGGGCCCATAAGGAACTCAACGGACTGTCCCAATGGAAAGAAACTCATGGTGCCACCCCGCTCATGTTGGCACACTCCTCGAACGATTTCGTGGCCCCATAGGGAGCTCCACCGAAAGCACCAGTGGCAGGATCCTCATGACGCCACCCCGCCAAGTTCAGCACAATGGCCCCCATGGGGAGGACCCTCATGGCGACCCCAAGCCTATCTCGACACCCCTCATACGTTTCGTGGCCCCATGAGAAACTCTAGCGGGGGCCCCAGTGGCACGGTCCGCGTGGCGCAACCCCACCTCTTTCGGCACACTCCTGACAAGTTTCGTGGCCGTACATGGAGCTCCAGCGAATGCTCCAGGAGCGGTGTTCGCATGCTGCCCTGCCCATTTCCAGCACACACCTCACGTGTTTTCTGGCCCCGCAGGGAGCTCCGCCGAATGCCCTAGCGGCGGTGTCTGCATGCTACCCCGCCCATTTCGGCACACCCCTCACACGCTTCGTAGTCCCATAGGGGGCTCCACCGAACGCCCCAGTGGCAAGGTTTGCAAGGCTTTACCGCGCGCATTTTAGCACACCCTCCACACGTGTCGTGGCCCCACAGGAATTTTCAACTTTTCTCTACCTCATTTGTGTTTTCTGACCACCCTGCTATGATTCGTCCTCGTCCTTCTCACCAACGTCCCAGTCCTCTTGCTAGGTCCTCTTTTTCTTAGTATCTGTCTTGCGCTACTCGCAACTACAAATGGTTGGGATCTTCGCCATGATGTGTTTTCGGCGCTTCCTATGCCTGAATGTGCGGTGTATACGGTCGGATGCGAAAAGACGACCGTCGGAATTCAGAGCCGACGAGGTTCCCTGAACTATCCGCCGATCCCCGCCTGCCGTGGGTGAAATGGCGTGTGAGAAATTTGGCTGTCCCCCTCCCCCGTTCCCCTCCCCCAGGGTTCGAACTCCGATTAGCCTCCTCCTCCTCCTCCTCCTCCTCCTCCTCCTCCTCCTCCCCTCCTCCTCTACTCCTCCTCCTCCTCCTCCTCCTTCTCCTCCTCTTTCTCCTCTTTCTCCTCCTCCTCCTCCTCCTCGTCGTCGTCCTTCCCCCTCCCCCAGGGTTCGAACTCCGATCAGAAGGGACCACCCCTCCCCAGGGGGGGGGACACGAGCTCGTCAACGCGCCCGCGGGGCCACTGGAGCCTCCAAAGAGTCCCAGGACGGCTCAAGAGGGCCCACACAGAGCGCTGAGACAGTCCAAGAGAGCGTCGAAACGGCCTAGGGCAGCCCCGCGACCGTGCAAGAGTGCTTCCAGAGGACCGCCGAGACGGCCCCGAGAAGCAAACATCGTCAAAGTCCGTTCGCAAAACGTTAATTTTTGGCACGCTCGCCTTTTTCGTCTTGGCAGCGTGCAAGTTGGCCAAGGGGGCCCCCAAGATCGTCCCAAGACGGGCCATGAGGCCCCGAAGCCCAGGAGGGCCCCAAGACGGCCCCAGGGGCCCCCAAGACGGCCAAGAGAGGCCCACGAGGGCCCCAAGAGTGCCCCAAGAGGTCGAATACGAACTAACACTTCCAGCCGTTCCCCCCAACATGGCCCCAAGAACCCCCAGAGGCCCCCGAGGCGGCCCCAAGAGGCCCCAAGAGGTCTCCAAGAGGCCCTCAAGAAGCCGCTCAGAGCCTCCCAAGAAGCCCCCAAAAGCCTCCCAGATGCCACAACGAACCCTCCAACATGCACCCGAGAGCATCCCAAGAGCCCCTCAAGTAACCTCACATGCATCCACGATGCTCCTGACCCACAAAATAAGTTCCACGATCGCCGCAAGCTCTCGCTCTGTCTGGGTGTCGGCGGATTGGCGTAAGCCACTTGAATAACATCAACGTGTGTTCATTTGTTCAGTTTGACTAGAGCTTCCCCTCAACTGACACACCATCTGAGTCGGCAAGGGCTAAGCTCCACAATCATTTGTTCAGTCCGCATCTAGTTATTTCGCGAAGTGTGTTTGCTCGTCAAGATCCAAACGACGAACACCATCGGCGCCAAGGTTAGCAATCGGAGGAGTCCTTAAGACAAGCGCACTTGAATGCAACGACAACTGCGACCATCTCGCCCCTCCAGCCTGCACGGTCCACGCTCCTCGTCGTCGCTCTCGTCGGCGAGCTGGTCCCAAACAGCCCAGGCTGCCAACGGCTGCTTCAGGTTGATCGTGTGCAGCTGCACGGAGTGCCTGTGCCGCGGCTCGGAGCGGTGCCAGAGAAACTCGAGCGACGGCCAACACCTCGCTCGCGCGATCTTTATCACACTCGTGGGTGTTTGAGAGGGGGCCGTCCAGTAGGGGGGGTCGCAAATCATGGCCCGAGGCGTGTGCGCGGACGACAAGGGGGACCGGCGGACGTATTGCACGAAGATGGGCCATGAAACCAATGGAGATGTCATGGCCCCAGCCGTGATATCCCCACCTGGTCATCGCTCCCCTGGTGGCCGTCCCCGACCCACCCTTCCCCGCCTTCTGCCAAGAGGCCTACCAAGGTCCGAACTCTGGAGGCAGAAAGCCAATAACAACAACGTCAAATCGAATCCGCCTCCGAGCCTTACGGTCAATGGGTGCCGGGTGGAGTGCCCGTATGTCCCCTCGAGTTCTTTGTACGGGGAAGAAAGAACTCTTCGAGGGCCAATAAAAGGGAATCCTAAGATAATAAGCTCAAACCCATCGAACGACGAATCTATCTAAAAGTTTCGCGTGACTTTTGGGGCGCCCCGCGTGCCTTGTCCCCAAGTCAGAAGTCATTGAGAACCATGGAATGTTTGCGAAGCTTTTGGCCGTGAAGAGGGGGACCCGAACTGGCCCCACGAGCCCGCTTGTGCCAAGATGGGCTCCGAGAGCGCCAACATGCGCTTAGAGGCGCCCAAGAGGCCTCCAAGAGGCCCCGAAAAGAGCCCCCCAAGGCTCCAAAACGACTCCCCAAAGGCCCCCCGAAGGCCCCCACGAGGCTTCAAGAGGCCCCCAAGAGGCCGCCAAGAGGCACTCCGAGAGGCACCCCCCAGGAGCCATCCAAGAGACTCATCCAAACGACATGGGGGTCACGACTAAATCTTCCTCCCTTTCCTCCGCTTCGCCTCGCCTCTATGCCGCCGTTCCCCGTGCCTCAACCTGCCCTGTCTCCTCGCCTACTCCCGTCTTCTGCGCTCTCACCCAGGCCCCAAACAAACAAATCATGTGCAAGAGCTTTGCTGGGGGTCCTGGACGTTTCGGAGCCTTTTTGCTGTCTCGGACCCGCGAAAGTATCTCGAGGCGTCTGGAGTTTCCAGAACCCCCTGGAGGGAGGCTCGAACCCGTCTCGAATCTTCCTCGTCTGTCTCCTACTTCTCCTCCTGCTGCCTTCGCTCTTCCTAGCTCCCTTTTCTTTGTCGTCGTCGTCGTCGTCGTCGTCGTCGCCGTCGTGGTCGTGGTCGTGGTCGCTCTCCTCCTTCTCCTCCTCCACGCCTGCACGCTGGATGTCCATCTCCTCTGCGGTCCATCCCCAACGTGGTCCACGAGGGCCCCTGGGAGGCCCTCCAAGGGGGCCCAAGAGATCGCCAAGCTGATCCCCAAGATGACCCGAGCAGCCCCAGAACAGCCTCACAGGGGCCCCAAAAGCCTAAGCGGACCCCCCGAAGGGCCAAGTCGGCCGGGGAAACACACACGCATAAGAAAGGCTGGGGGAACACTTGTTCCTCCAGCAGCGAGGTGACGACACCGTTGCGATGCGCTAGGCCGGGTCACGCTTAGGCGAACGATCACCAGGCGTAGCAGAAGGGTGGACTTGATGGGAGCAATCACATGCAGAAAAAAGAACCGCGGAAGCGGGTGCACGCGGACAAGGCCGGAGCGCTCATGCAATGGCTGGGGGAACACGCACACTGTCCGACGGCCTGCGGCGGACCAGCAGGCGGGGCGCGCGCGCGGATCGAGAGCAGACGATGCCGAAAGACGCAGACGAGCAGCGCAGGCAAGCGAGACGACGCGCAGGCAAGCGAGACGACGCGCAGGCAAGGTGGAATATCCCCATCCCCAGCTGCCAGTGCCGACGAGTGGCGCCCACTGCTTCCCCAGTGTCAACTACACGCACGAGTGACCCTAGGCAAGAGTGACCTTTGGTGCGCGGCCCAAGGGAGGGCGCCTTCGGGACACCGCAGCGCGCAAGCCGCTGCGATCGCATCGCATTCAGCGATGGGCGGGCCCCGTTGGGCCCGCGCCCAGAGCCACTCTGGCGAAAGGTCACTCCCACGTGCAACCGACAGTGGTTTCCCCCGGGGCCAGGGGGAGCCACGCAGGCCCCGTGGCGTGGCTGGACTGCCGCCTCACGGCACAAGCACCCCTTCCTGTCTCTCTCCCGACGAGCCCATGCCGCCGGCCTGCCAGACCGCGACTCGCGAGGGTGTCGCTGGACTCCTCCTCCTCCTTCTTCTCCTCCTCCTCTTCCTCAAACTTTCGGCTGCTTGATGCAGTCCGATAGGACAGAGAGCTGCCGATTGCCCTCCTCGCCACCCTCCTCGAGACGACCCGTCAGACGAGCACGACACAAATCTCTGGCATCAAAATCTGCACGAAAGGAGCTGAGTCTGGCCGATATGTAAACTTTGCGGCGAGACAATGGCCGCCGTGCGAGACAATTTCTGCAGTGGTCACAGACCCCGTCCCGCGAGGCCCTCTGCTCTTCTCTCCTGTCCTCCTCATCCTCATCCTCTTCCTCCTCTTCTTCTCTTCCCCTTTCACCTCCTCCTCCTCCTCCTCCTCCTCCCTTCTTCCTCCTCGCCCTCCTCCCCTCCTCCTCTTCCTCCTCCCCGCTTGTCGTCGTCAACCTCCTCCACCTCCTCCTCTCCCTCCTCGTCCCTGTCCCCCCTGTCGTCGTACTAAATTTCCGAAGCTTTCACCTGCTCTTCTAGACAACCTTGGGCAGGGAGATGCTGCTGCTGCTTCTGAAGCTGATGCTGATGAGGCTGCTGCTGCTTCTGAAGCTGATGCTGATGCTATTTTTAAAGCTTCTGACGACTGATGCTGGTACGACTGCTACTGATGATGATGCTGATGATGGTGAAGATGGGGATGAGGATTGTGATGATGATGGTGATGATGCTGCTGCTGATGGTGATGATGATTCACATGATGTTGTTGCTGCTGCTGAGGATTGTGATTATGATGTTCTTGTTGATGCGGACGATGATCGGATGCGGGGATGATGAGGAGGATAGGAATACGACGAGCGTACTCGAGGAGGGGGATGAGGAGGATGATGATATGAGGCCAGGAGGACGAAATTTATGATGCTGAATATGATCATGATCATGATGCTAGTCGTCCGCTCTGTGGTTGATCGGGAGTTTCTGTATGTAGAAGAAGAGGCGTGCGCTTCTGGGCGAGAGGTTAACGATCGAGACGAAACTGAGCGTGAGGATCAGGAGGGCGACGCTCGCGAGGGGGAGGATCAGGAGAGTGAGAGTCACGCGGGTGAGGATCAGGCGAGCGTGGATTTGGAAGGCGAGGGGCCTGACCTCCTCACGCGCCTCGCGAGGATGTCTCGAGCGAGAGCCCTGGGGAGACACGCCCGGTGCCCCCTGGCGCGCGCTCCAGAAATGGGCCCTGGGGGCGCGGTGGTCGACTTTGCGAGGACGTCTCGAGCGAACGCCGAAGATGGGACCCGCCCAGCGCGCCCTGGCGCGCGCCCCGGAAATGGTCCCTGGGGGCGCGGTCGGTGGGGCCTGACCTCCTCGCGCGACGGGGATCGACGTTGCGAGGATGCCTCGAGCGAGCGCCCAAGACTGGGACACGCCCCGGGCGGCCGGGCGCGCGCCCCGGAAATGGTCCCCGGGGGCGCGGTGGGGCCTGACCTCCGCGCGCGACGGGGGTCGACGTTGCGAGGATGCCTCGAGCGAGAGCCCTGCTGGAGCACGGTCGGCGCGCTGGGCCTGACTTCCTCGCGCGCAGTGTATGAGGGTGACGTGGGTTCCACAGGAACTCTGCTGCTGCTGCTGATGATGATGCTGCTGCTGCTATTGCTGCTGCTGCTGCTGCTGATAACAATATTACTGATGATGACGATGATGCTGATGCTGCTGCTGCTGCTGATGATGATGATGCTGATGATGATGATGATGCTGCTGATGATGATAGGGAGGAGGAGGAGGAGGAGGAGGAGGAGGAGGAGGAGGAGGAGGAGGAGGAGGAGGAGGAGGACGAAGACCACACTCCTCCCCCTGATCTCTTCCTCCTCCTTATCCCTGCCCCCTGTGCGGCGAGGCGGCCCTCCCAGGCAGCGCCCTCTCCCCCCCGAGCGTGCCTCTGACTCAGCGACATGGTGCCCTGCCTGGAGAGGTTGCTCGCCACGGAGCTCTTGCCTCGGGCACCAAGAGTGGTACGGTCGGATCTGGATCAGAGGAACATCCTTCAAGTACATGAGACCCTCCGCAGGCCAAACTGAAGAGGATTCGGGGGTGCCCTCTCCCAAGGTGCACAAGAACATCCAACAAACACGAAGAACATTCGAGTACCCTCTCCAAAACGACCTCGATCTTATACCTCGGTCCGACCGTACGAGGACCTCTTCGAAACGGAAACAGCCAAGAAAGGTGGACCGAGACTTCCCTTCCCTTCAGGACGGCTGTCCCCGTCGCGCGACCCAAAGACAGACGAGCACAACGAGACACGTGCACAGGAGGGGCACGAGGACTGCGACGCTTTGCCCACGAAGATCGGGTCGAGAGGCGCGTTGCACTGGCCCTTTTTGTGCCTCCAAAACCCTCCGGGGGACTAAGACCCCAATCTCCTTCTGCTGCGCCCGTTGCCGTTCCGTGTCGAGTGCTCGGCGGTCTTGGGGCCCGCACGGTGCTCACAGCCCTAGGATCGGACCGTCGTGCCGAACAATGTCACCAGGAGACAGGCGCCGCACGCGCCCCGCTCCGACCCTCGTACCCGTCTTCTCTTTCTCTGCTGCGCTCTCCTCTCATCACTTGTCCTGTTATCCCCCTCCTTCTTCCCCCCCGCCCTCTGCTCCTCCTCTTCTTCCCCCTTCTGTTTCCTTGCCTAGCTCTCCGCCCTTTCCCATCCTCCTCCATCCTCCTCCTCTTCCACCTCATTTTCGTAAGATGGATCGGCACTCGGACTCGCCTCCTGCATCCCGAACGCTGCCCTGGGGCCCGCGCGTTTGTCATGAGTCCGCCTTGCAGCAGACGCAGACGTCGTCCTGAGGCCAGGGGCATCCTGCTGCTGCTGCTGCTGCTCCTCCTGCACCAACGTATCCGCTTGAAGGGTTTGCCTTCTCCTCCAGGTCCCAGTTCTCGTCTGTCTTCCTTCTTCTCTCCCCTCCTCCTCCTCCTCCTCCTCCTCCTCCTCCTCCTCGTCCTCCTCCTCCTCCTCCTCCTCTTCCTTCTCCTCCTCCTCCTCCTCCTCCTCCTCCTCCCCGTGCTGAACTCGAAGAGCACCCCTGAACTCGAAGAGCACCCCTGAATAGCCCCTTTTCCAGCGAATGGCCGGGCGACAGTGGCGTAGAAACTTTCGCCCTCAGACTCAGGGCAAGCACGGCCTTCCCCAGGGAGGTAAGGCCGTACGTGCCCGGATTCCCATCCGTGTCGATGGATACGCACGGGCACCCGCCTCAGGTGCCTGAAGCAAGGGCGGCAGTGCCGGCTGTCGTGCATCCGCATATTCTGCGTGTTTACCTTCGTCGCGAGGCGGTCGCCTCAAGGACGCAGCCCAGCAGCGAGGCTGGCGTCCTTCGCGCTCACATCTCCCTGATTCTCAAAATTCGTTTCCTGTGTGGTCGGCCCGGCGGCAATGCCAGTTTGCGAGCGTTTGCCGATTCTGCGCGCCTGCCCCCGTCGCGAGGCACACGCCTCAAGGACGTTGCCCGGCGGCAAGGTCGGAGATCCTGCAGGCCCTCATGTCGAACCGCTTCCCAGATTCGTCCTCTTTCAGACGCTGGCTGGCTGCAGTGTCAGCCATCGCGCGTCCGCGGATTATGCGTGCCTGTCCCCGTCGTGGGGCTGTTACCTCCAGGACGTTGGCCGGCGGCAAGGCCAGCGGTCCTGCACACTCTCACGTGGCGTCGAACATGTAGGTCTGTCTCTCTTTGGAAAACTGGCTGACGGCAGTGCCTGACGTCGTGCATCAAAGGGCAGAACCCGGCGGAAAGGCCGGCGGTCCTGGACCTTCTCGCGCCGAGCTGCTACTAAGGTTCGTCCCGTTTTGGGCGCAGGCTGGCCGTCATGCCAGCCATCGCCCGTCCGCAGATTCTGCGCGCCCGCCCCCGTGGCGAGGCTGTTGCCTCGAGGGCGTTGCCCGGCGGCAAAGCCGGCGGTCCTGTGCGTTGTCATGTCCCTCCTCTCCAGGCATCGCGTTTCGTTTTCTTGGAAGCTGGCTGGCGGCAGTGCTGGCTTTCGTGCGTCCGCGCCCGCTGCGCGCTTGCCCCTGTCGCGGAGAAGTGCCCCAAAGACGCAGCGCGGACGCAAGGCTGGCGGTCCTCCTCGCCCTCGCGAGGCCCGTGCTACAGCGGCTCGTCTCCTCTTATGCGCGGTCTGGCGGCAATGCCGGCTTTCGTGAATCCGCAGATTCTGCGTGTATGCTCCCGTCGCGAGACAGTCGCCTCAAGGACGCATTCTGGCGGCAAGGCCGGTGGTCAACGCTCGCGTTGGCCTGTAACTCACAGTCGTCTCCTTGGGGCGCTGCTTGGCGGCGGTGTCAGCTTGCGTGCGTCCGCGGATTCTGCGTGATTGCCCCCGACGCGAGGCATACGCGTCACGGGCGGCGGCAAGGCCAGCGGTCCCGCGCGCTCTCGCGTCGACCGTTACCAAGGTTCGTCTCCAATTGGACGCCGTCTGGCTGCAGCGCCAGCCGGCTATCGTGCAACCGCAGATTCTGCGATTTGGCTCTCGTCGCGAGGCAGTCGCCTCAAGGACGTTGGCCAGCGGCAAGGCCCGCGGTCCTTCGCGCTCACGTCTCCCTGGTTCTCACAATTCGTTTCCTGTTGGGTTGGTCTGGCGGCAGTGCCAGTTTGCGAGCGTTCGCCGATTCTGCCCGCTTGCCACCATCGCGAGGCAGATGCCTCAAGGACGTTGGCCGGCGGCAATGCCTGCGGTCCTGCGCGCCCTCGCGTCGAACCGCTACCGAGGTTCGTCTCCTTTTGGGCGCTGGCTGGCGGAAGTGCCCGCCGTCGTGCGTCCGCAGATTACGCGCGCCTACCCAGATTATGCGTCGGTGATTCCGCCCTCCAGGACACTGAGCTGGCGGGCCTTCGCGCGTGGTCGGAGGTATTGACTTCCAGGACACAGCCTGGGGGCAAGGTTGGCAATCCTGCGCCCTTCCCCCCTGCGACGCAAGTCAGGGCACAGCCAGGCAGCGACGCTGGAGTTTCTGCCCTGCAGGACACAGCTCAGCAGCAATGCCGGCGGTCCTGCATACTTTTCCAAGCCCGGCAGGCCCTCGGCGACCACGGGCCCCAAGCGGCCTTCCGAGGCCAACGGCCGTCCGCGACCGCCAGCGGGGCTCCGAGCAAGGGCTCGCCGCACTGGGGGGGGGGGGGACGCGGAGTGGCCCCAGACAAATTCCGAACATGTGCGCCAGGGGGGCGGTATGTGTACAAATTGTCTGGGCCCATTGGTGGCCGGTCTCGCGCGCTGCAGCTGGGGCGAAGCAGCGGGGTGTGAGGCTTTCCGTGCTGGAAAACACCTCGGGGCTGCGGGTCGGAAATCTATGCCCCACTTCGGGGAACGGGGCATGCTATTTCACAGCCGCTACGGATCCAATGTCCTCCCCACATTCACGAGCACCGCTTCAAGGGGTTTGGGAATGATTCTGTTGGGGCGGGCTTTGGAGCTCTCTTAGGGCCCTCTTCATGCCCTTCAAGACCGCACTCGAGGGCGCTGGGCGCCCTCGAGACAGCCCCGAGGGGCCTGAAGAGGGCCCCCCAAAGGGCCCAAGATGGCGCCAAGAGAACCTCGAGAGGGCCCCGCAACCTATCACGAAACCGGGCCGTGTTCGCGACAAGCTGTTGGATGCTGTTGGAGCCCGCTTGAGGCGCTCCGAGACCGCGCTGGCGAGGCCTGGAGCCCCCGAGACGGCCCCGAGAGCTCCTAGTGAGCCTCAAGTGGGCCTCAAGAGGGCCCAACAACCTGCCACGAAAAGGAGCCTTATTCGTGACGGGTTCTTGACCCCTCTTGGAGCCCTTGTGAGGCGGGCCGAGACCGCGCTGGAGGGCCCTGGAGGCCCCCGCGACGGCCCTTTTTGAGGGGGGCTCGGGTCGGGCGAAAGGGGGGGATAACAAAGGGGGGGTTTGAGAATCAGCTCACGTAGCTGATTTTCCCGGCGCCTCCCGGCGCTGGAGGCGGCCATGTATCGAGGAATGGGCTCCTCGGTGGGGCCGAAACCAGCTGCATGCAGCAGTTTTCGTAACGCCCCCTTTCCCAATCCCCCCCTTTCGCCCGGCCCGAGGGGCCGGCAGCAAGGCTGGCGGTCCTGCACACTTCTCCCTCCTCCTCTTTCGCACTTCTTTCCCGCGGGGTCGGCCAATTTGCGAGCATTCGCCGATTCTGCGCGCTGATTCCCTGCCGTGCCTCAAGGACGTTGCCCATCTGCAAGGCCAGCGGCCGTGCGCATTCTCACGTCGAACCGCAACCAAGGTTCGTCCCCTTTTGGACATTGGCTGGCCGCAATTCCAGCCATCGTGCGTCTGCAGATTATGCGCGACTGCCCCTGTCGTGAAGCTGGTGCCTCAAGGACGTTGCCCAGCGGCACGGCCGGCGGTCCTGCACACTGTCACGTCTAATCGCATTTTTTGTCTCTTTCCTGGATGGCGGCAGTGCCTGATTTCGTGCATTCACAGCTTACGCACGCTCACCGCAGCTGCGAGGCAATTTGCCTCAAGGACACAGCCCGCCGGAAAGGCCGGAGGTCCTGCGCCTTCCCACGACGAACCGCTAGCGAGGTTTGTCTCATTTTGGGCGCAGGCTGGCGGCAGTGCCATCCATCGTGCGTCCGCAGATTATGCGCGTCCACTCCCGTCGCGAAGATGTTGCCTCAAGGGCGTTGCCTGGCGGCATGGCCGGCAGTCCTGCGCGCCCTCACGCTGCACTCTTTGATGGAATGCATCAGGACGTGTCTCGCAATCTTCATGCCTTTTTGTTCATGGTTGTCGACTGGTTTCCCCCGAAGTCGCCAGTGTTGCGGTCGGCTATCCTGTGGAACAAGCCCCTCTTGTCACCCCACAGCGGAGACATCGGCGGCAGTGGAGGGGGCCCGCCCCGTCCTCCCTTGGCGGGGGGCGACCTGGCCTGCCTGAGAGCTGCCTACCAGTGTCACCCCTGGGGTGGCGATCCGACCTGCGATGGCGCAGGTCCCCCCTTGC